GATCTGACTGATCCTTTAGTTCTGCCATTCCCATTCCGGATAGACAATGTTTATCTCATTATCCTATCTTCTCTCTCTTTCAATCTCTCTCTACCATTTGTAAATTTGAAACAGACCAAGATGTGGATTGCAGTAGATGTTTTTACAGATGACTTCATGTATTTTTAATTTCAGTTAGCGACCTTCATAGACCATTGGGTGTACTAGCTTAAACAGTTCTGAGTTATCTAAGACATTAGAAAGCAAGCTTCCTTCTGCTTCAACTGTTGCGGTTTTACTGTTAGATAACAGGAGTATTACTACAACAATTCTTGGACAACCCAAATAAGAAATAGCAGTGTCTGCTATCCTCTTTAATCTTTTTGCTTTAGATACTGCTCGTTTGTTTTTAAAGGGAAGCTAGCATGTGACAAAGTAAATGCCAGCTGAAAGCATCATTGTTATTTCCAAGAATACCTTTGGGACTCTTGATGTCCCTCAAAGCATTCTATAAAAACCAGAATGGTGGGTAGCTGACCTTTGCAGGTGGTAGAAAAAAGACAGTGAGAAGCTAGGGTGATAGATAATATCCTGGGGGCTTGGTGCGGCCGATAACCAGTTTGCAAGTCTCTCCCATGGCAAGCCACTGGTGAGAATATCCACGACAAGCTGCCAACTTTCCAGATGTGCCAGCTGGCTCAAAAAGATTGCCTATCACTGGACCGAAAACAGCTGGATAGAGTTTTCCAATGTTGTGAAATTAGAAAGAATTGAAGATGGTGAGTAGATGGGGTCTAGTAGCGTTAGGATGTTGGTCACTATATCAATTCTGCTGTTTCAAGGAGAGTCTCTCTCCAAGCTGGTAGAACTTTAGCAGCAACATTTCTGAACACCTTCCTTCCCTGTTTACTTCTCATTTCTAATTTTCCCCTTAATCCCCTGGGGTTTTCCTCCCCCCCCCTCTTTTTTTTCTACATTTACAGGCCTTTAGAGCAACTTTGAGCTTACCTGAGTTTGCTTGTTTCTTTCATCTTAGTATCCAGCTGAAGTTGTCATTTCTTGAGTTTTTAACTCCTGCGTTATCAACAAAATGATGCTATGGAAGCTGGATTGTTTTGCTGCAGGAATACTTTTGGAGTTTGGATTAAACCATGGGGGGGGGCAATCTTTTGGGATTTGACAGCCATGTTTAACATTTAGGAGGCACCTGAATGTGTGGGTTGATCCTGTAAATAGGGGAGAAAGGATTTTTGTTTTGTTTTCCCTGGGCTTGGGGTTGGGGGAAGCATTTTGACATCTTTCTTAGGGCTGTAAGGACGTCCTCTAGAATTTTCACACGTTTCTGCCTTGAAATGATAAAAAGCCCATTTTCTGAAATTTTGAGCTGATTTGGCTCTGATGGTAGCCAACAAAAGAATGTAATGGTGCAAGTTGCCCACCCCACATTGAAACCATGGTTTGATTAATTGCAGTTTGACTATGCCTGTCTTCTGACCACTGATTATGCGCCATCAGTCACTGTCAACTCTTAGTCACCACATTGATTTTCGCCATGGCGAGTCTTCTAAGAATATGCTAAGCTAAAACAAAGCAGCTATATTATGACTTTGTGTCATGGGTGAACTCAACCATTGGGCTCCTAACCTGGAGGGTAAGAGGCTTACACAAGCTTTGGGTGGGGATCTTTGTTTACATAGTTTGCTAGCCTATCTGGGCCAAGAAATAATTTCCTACTAGCAACTCTTCCTATATACTGCCAGGGTGGACTTAGTGTGTCTATGCGGAAGGAATATTTAGCCTTTAAAATATATTATTAGAACATTATTAGAAGCATAACTATGTTTGCAGAACATGTTTACCCAGAACTAGGTAAAATTTTCATTTAATTGACCCAGTGCTCCACATTTATCACACTTAAGCTAGGTTTATGGAACATGCTAAGATAAAATGCAGGTGATTACAGTACTTCCTAATTCAGGATGTCGTGTGAACACTTCCAGTGCATTTAGCTGAGTTACGCAGAAATATTTAGAGAATTAAACGGCATAAGTATATTCCAAGTGTTTACTGAATGAGTGTTTTTCCCTAGCCCGTTTTTTAAAATGAGGCTAGAAAAATGTACCCATTTCACAGATGCATAGGTCCTTGATAATTTGCTGCATGTTTACATGTTACATGTTTTGTGACTGACGCATAGCCCATGGATAAGTCTACGTTCTGGTTATTGATTCTATCAAGCTTAGTGATTTATGCACGTCCACACTTGCATTTTAGTAAGTTAAAATGAGGGCAGAATTGTTTTGACCTATGTCACAATTATGCTTGTGGAGACTGAAGTTAAAGCTGCCAGGAGCTTTTCATGCCACAGTTAAGCACCTGCTCCAAGAGCAAAGAAACTAAACCGTGCATCTGGCAAAGCAGGCTTTACAGTATGTGATTTTTCCTCCCTCCGTGACCCTCCAACGAGGAAGCTCAAGCCTACAACTCAGCTGCTTGTGCCTGCAGATTTCATTCCAGCCCAATGCAGGAGGAGATAAACAGCAGCTACTTCGTCTGGGGGCTGACTCAAAGATCTTTGGAGCTGGCCGTTAAAAGCCAGCCAACCCTAAAAAACTACCCTCCCAGCTGAAGGGTCCCCTCTCCCCAGTCGAGTAATCCAAAGGGTCTTCTGCTATGGAGAGAGAAATCCCTGTCTTGCGAATTAGGTGAGAGATGGAGAAGGGGAGGGGAGGGGGCTGCAGGATGCAGCTTGAGAAGGGAGCTGGCCGTTGGGGTGGGGGGCGGGGGCTAGAGGGGGAAAGGGGGACTAGAAGCCGAGCAACGTTGGTGTCCGTGATTGCATTGCGAAAGGTGTGCAGTGAGGTAGACGCCGGAGCGCTGACTGACGCGCGCTGACGCTGCATTGCATCAGCGACGGCCCGTGGAGCAGCACAGGGGGATCGCTGATACAAACAGGAAGGGAGCAGGAACAAGCTTATTTTGGTTATGCATCGGGGGGGAGCGAAAATAAGCCTCCGTGAGGATAAGAGGGGAGTCACGTGATCTTGATGCGCTGGGTCACAGCAGCTGATCCAGGCTGCGAAGGAAGGAGCCGGCGGCTGATCTGCCTCCCGCTAGGACTCTGGGATGGCTGGCGATTTCAGTTTTTTTCTGTCCTGAGGTTGCCAAAGGAGGGAATATGGGGGGGGGGGGGGGGGGGGG